AAGGTGTGACTTGGAAGTGGATGAGTTAAACTGGATTAAACCCTATGTAAACATCTTAATTCAAACCCTAAGCGGCCTTAATTCAGTGTAAGACCACATTAAGAGTCAAGGCCATTCTGGGAGGTTCTGTACCGTGTCGCTGCCAGATGGAGACAAATTTGAGTGTAGACATGCACAAATAGGTGGACGCAAGGTGACAAATGTCAACCTGACCTTGTCACGTAGACCAAGCCCGATTGAAAGCATCCACACAGGTGTGGTTTACTTCATCCGCTTTAGTTAATTCGGATTCACTTTCATGGCTATCCCCATGTAGACAAGTCCTCGGAGTAGTTTGACAATGAACAATAACCATGTGGAACAGTCCCAGAAGTAATGGCAAAATGCGTCCATTGGGTGACTTGCACGAGTAACAATCGGAAACCATAGTCCATAGTTTGAGAAGCCGAACAGAAATCAACCAAATCCATTGACACCAAGAATAACGATCTCCAGTTTTTACCAAGGCCTTTTCCTGCGCAGGTCACAGAGCGTGGTGTAAAGGAAGTGGATGCCATGATCCCGTTTTTCCGATGGGGAGACATGCTGTCCGTTATGCAGGACGGTCTCGGGTTTCTCTTAGAGCAGTGCTTCTCAGCCTTCATTTGTTTCTGGCCCTTAACAAATTTCGAATGGAGATGCAGGGCCCTTTGGAAAACATAGACCAGTCCGGGGGGTCCAGGTTGGGAGAGACCTACCCCCAAAGACTTCCTGAGCAGATCTTTGAGAAGAACTGGCCAGCCTGAGCCTTGCTCGGTTTGTCCCCTCCCTGTTAACAGCCGATCCCTGATTTCCAGGCTGACGGCGTCTGGCTCCGTCCACCGTCGGATCCCATTCGACCATCGTCTGCCAAAGCAACGGGCCCATGAGCAAACTGAATCCATTTTGCATTTGAAGGCCTTCATGTGGATTTCTTTGTGGGCTTGTTAACATTTACTGGAGATCTTAATATACGTCCTATTATTTATTAGCACAATTAGCTTCAGCACGAGGGTACGAATTCGTTATCGTTCTGATTGGTTGGGATGAAATCATTCCGTGACCGAATCTCCTGCTTTAGGCCATATTTAGGCAACTCTTATGTTATGTTAAATCTCACTGTATTCCTTATTTCTGTCCCAATATTCCGGGAGGCCGCCTTGTTTACGTGCCGACCTTCGGGTTCGTTGTCTCCCGCAGTTACGGGTCACAATCACTGTGATTTGGGTTGGTTTCCTCAGCACATTGTGGCTGCTACGTAGTCCTGGACGCCGTGCCAGTATTGTCATTCATTACTGGGAGTTTATTAGGCATTATTTGTTATTAGCTGTATTAGCACGAAGTCCGTTATCCTGCAAGTGGGGCTTCTATTAGGAATAGTTATTAGCAAAATTAATCATGTCATTTATTCATTATCAAGGTCAGGAAACTGAAAGGAACTTTGCTGGGGCAGATCTCTGCCAGTGCCCTGCTGGAGGGCAGGGATGTATGTAGCTCTGTGAAGGTAGTCATTGCTTCGGTACGGACCGGCCCTGTATGGACCGGCCACCAACAGACCCCGTCGGTGCCGTCTGGCCCTGTTGGTCTGCGTTCACCGTTCCTACGTGACGCGGAGAGCTGGGCCATCCACAGCGTAGCTACGAGGCCGTTCACTGTTGACACTTGACGCCCATGACTCGGGGTGCAGGAGTCGCTGTGAGGGGTCCGCGGATGTTCACAGCGGGTACGTCTGGTGGGCAATGAATGGACGGCTGGATAGTTACCAATGGGAACAGGACACGGGGCCCCGCTTTGCAGGCGCTACAGACCCCCGGTGGGGCAGGGAACATCTGGACTAGACCAGCCCCGCCGGGAGAGACCCCGGTCCGAGCCCCTCGGCCGCGCCCCACTGGGAGAGACCCCAGTCCGATCCCCAGTGGGAGAGTCCCTGGTCCAAGTCCCACTGGGAGAGCCCCTCGGCCGCGCCCCGCCGGGAGAGACTCCGGTCCAAGCCCCTCGGCCGCGCCCCCCCGGGAGAGCCCCCA